TCTCTCTCTCTCTCTCTCTCTCTCTCTCTCTCTCTCTCTCTCTCTCTCTCTCTCTCTCTCTCTCTCTCTCTACCGTGATCGAGGTCAAGAACCAGCGGAATCGGATCGTGATGGTCTAGATCCAGATGGAAAAACGGCACCCACGATTGTAATACATTCACCTCTCAAGCCCCAAGCGGAATCAGCCGTCCTGGGACAGCTACAACTGCCACAGTGACCTGTAACCTTTCAAGTTCATATTATCTTCAACAGCAGCATGGGGATCCGTTCCCCGCCTCCGCTTTTCCCGCCTCTACCTGTGCTTTTCCCACCTCTACCTGTGCCTGAGGGGCGAGAACGATCTTCTTCTATTCTCCTACTACATGTCGCGGTGGGAAGGGCATCCTCCCGCTCTCTGCGCTCTTTCTCTCCCTCTAATCTCTACTCAGTATGGCCGCCCCCGTCTTTTCCCGAGTGCAGATATGTGCAAGATCGACTGATTAGCAACTCGCGTGCCTACGGCCTCTGTACGTATTTTGCATCTGTATATCTCCATCTTTCTTGATATATGCGCTGGTTAATTCCGCGTGTTTTTTATCTCTCTCTCTCTCTCTCTCTCTCTCTCTCTCTCTCTCTCTCTCTCTCTCTCTTGTAAGACCACAAAATAATCGCTTCAGCTACCTTAGGGCTGCGTTCCCCGCGCCCACACGGTATACAATACAGTATCTTCTGCAATCAGTTCCGTGGTTCATCGAGACGGTTAAAAAGGGGGGGAAAAAAAACAAGCGCGCCCAAGACGTGGGAGAGAGACTAGAGAAAGAGCGAGAGGGAGAGAGATAGAGACCCCAGTCTAACTAACTATGGGCCAGCGCCCCCCGCCCCCGACAGCGATCAAGTGTACTATACTACTATCTGATCCATGGCACAAAAAAAAAGCGAGCACGCAAGATGTCCACATGCGTGGGAGAGAGAGGGACACAGACAGACACACACACACACACACACACACACACACACACGCACACACACACACACACACACACACACACATACACACACACACACAGAGAGAGAGAGAGAGAAACTTGATCATTCCCCCTCGATCAGGTGTAGTATCTGTTCCGGTCAGTTTCATATTTGATCCGTGGTCGATCAAGACGTTTAAAAAAGAAAGAAAGAAAGGAAAAAAAGTTAAAAAACGGGAAATCCGTTCGCCCGATCAGTTTAATGGAGAAAATAAAAAACAAGGGAAGCATGAGCGATTTTGAAAATAAAAGAAACCGGAAACACAAGCGATTTGGGGGAAAAAAGAAAAAAAAACGAAGCGGGCGCGTACGCAGCCGCAAGAGGTAAAACGCA